ACAAGCATATGTGTTTGATAACTCGCATAGTGTGCCCAAAAAGGACAAAGTGGAGAGTTGTTGCCATAGATTTTCTACTTGTGAGTATACCAAGTTCATGGCCCGTCAAATTGGCCCGATCGGGATTGTGGAGCAGTTGAAGACGAGATTACTTTGGATTCGAGGGCGAATCCTTTTCGACAGGGGGAGAATGATGGAGATAAGGATGTTTAAAATTTTTAATTATTATTATTATTATTATTATTATTATTATTATTATTATTATTATTATTATTATTATTATTATTATTATAGATTTGTTAGGAAACTTATTATTTATCACTTTGTTAGGATTCTTGTCTTGTTAGACAAGTTAGTATTATTAGAGATCTTGTCTTGTTGGACAAGTTAGGAATAGGGTTTTGGAGTCTTATTTAAAGGGCTCATCATATATTGTTTTAGTCAGTTGAATATGAAAAAAAGAATGAATTGATTGTGAGTTTTATCGAGAGAGTATCTCGTTTTACGTGTTTTACGAGAGAGTATCTCGTTTACTCGTTTATCCTTCCCACTCGTACGCATTCCCTACATCAAGAAGTCTTCGATCTGTTTACGAGGGGTCTGGCAGGAATTCTGCAACCGTAAGACGCCATGGCTGTTCGAGTTTCTACCACTACTGGAGGCAGGGTGATTTATTTATTGAAAAAAAAAAAGTAGACAAAAAAAAAGAGTGAAAAAAAATCAAAAGCACGTATTCCCGGAATACGTTTTACTAATTAAATATTATTAGAGAAAACGTATTCCGGTAATACGTTTTATAAATGTTTTTGTAAAATTAAAAAAAATAATTTTCCGCTATAAAAGTGGAAGGAATTCAATTCATAAATAGTAATTATAAAACGTATTTTTATAATACGTATTCAAAAACCCTAAATTGTTCGTTCAAATTAATAATCTATATTAGACGTATTTCAGAAATACGTTATATAGTTTAATTTACAAAAAAATAATAATAATGTAAACGTATTCAGAAAATACGTTTTACAATTAAATAAAAAAAGAAAACGTATTCCTGTAATACGTTTTACAATCAAATTTTAAAAAAAAAAACTCTTCTCTAACGTTTTATAATTAAATAAAAAAAAGAAAACGTATTCCTGTAATACGTTTTACAATCAAATTTAAAAAAAAAAAAATCTTCTCTTCCCTCGCTTCAGAGACGAGATTTAGAAGCAGAGCAGCACTCTTCGAACTCTTCGAGCAAGCGAGCGGCGTATTGTTATCTCTACCCGATTCGAATTGACAACAACGACACGAACCTTATTTCCGGTTATTTCTTTTACAAAAGGAATATTGACTTATCTCAATTTTTTACATTGTTTTGAGTTGTTTGAAAATTGGGAATTGGTATAGAATGTTTGAATGTAGTGGTGTTTGAACATTGGGAATTGTTATAGTATGTTTGAATGTAGTGGTGTTTGAACATTGAGAATTGTTAATTGTTTATCGAATATTTGTAGTTGAATTGGAGATTGGAAATTTGTTGTAAATTGTCAATTGTGTATTGATTCATTGTTGTTTGGCTTAGGGTTTTTCGAATTAGGGTTAGAATTAGGACTTTCCATTTATTCAAAATATAAATGAATTTTAAGTTATTGTTAATTATGGGTATTAGGGTTTTGGAAAATTGTTTTGTTGGAAATATTTATTTTGGTCATTTGTTTAAATAATTGAATTTTTTTTGTGTTGGATTAGACATTATGTGTTGTTGTAATTGGGAAGAATGTAAATTGTCTTTTTTGCAGCAGGTATTAATGGCGCATTCCGGTTCATACTTTGTTAATTTGTACTAGCATTTTCCGAAAGAAATGCTAAGTGAATTTGTTTTATTTAAAGATCATCCGGATGGTTCATTGTTTATTCCGGAGAGGATATCTTATCAACAATTGGTAGAAATGATTAATGAAAATTGTTGCTTTGGAGAAGGTTGGAGAATGAAAGAGATTTCGTTGAATTTCATAAGACTGAATAACGATAGTGTTCTTCAGTATATTTATTACCTTCCTTCTATGTCCATGGTGTATTTGCATTTATCGTTGGAGACAATTACACCGGTTACACAGGTTGAGGATGTGCGGGGATGTTACGGGGGAGTGGTGGATGTTGAGGGTGTGTCTACTTCGCATCTACGTAATTTTGGAGAAGGGACAAACTCAACAATGCAATGGGAAAATGAGAACTGGGAAGAAGAAGAAGGCGATGAAGATTTCATTCATGGTGAAGATGATTTCACTGATGAGACCTCCGAAAGCGAATTAGACAGGTCTATAAACGAGGAAAGTGAACCCGAATTGATTGAAGAGGAAGACCCTCTTCCTAGTGGTGGTCGCCACAATTATCGCGAGATGGGTGAATGGGAGCCATCAAAGATAGATGAAAACGAGTATGCTCTTCCATTATGGAATGGCGACATTGAGACCATCCGTTTGGGTACAGTTTTTAGAAGCAAGGAAGAGGCACATTCGTGTATCTTGGCTTGGAACGCTGATAGGCTGAGGGTGGTTCGGACAATAGATTCTAACCAAAAGTCATTCAAAGTGGTCTGCAGATCT